CCCTGGGGAGGGCGCCGTTCCCGCCGCCGCCGCCGCTCCCCCCGCTGCCGCCGCCGCCGCCGCCGCGCCGGGCTTGAGGGCCGCCTTCTGCGGTAAACTCATGGCCAAGCGGAGCCACCACCAGGCCGGGGGCGGCGGCGGCGGCGGGGCGGCGGCGGGGGGCGGGGAGCGGCGGGGCGGGGGCGGGGGCAGCCCGGCGGGCCAGCACCCCCGGCCGGTCTCCGTGACAACGCGGCCGGCCTCCTCCTCCTCCTCCTCCTCCTCTCCCGCCTCCTCCTCCTCCTCAGGCCGGGGCGAGCGGGGGCCGGTCAGGCCGCGCCGCCGCTCATGGGGGCCGCCTCCGCCGGCGGCTCTCGGCTCCTTGTGGCCGGGCGAAGCGGCTCCGCGGCGTCTAGCGGCGGTCGGGTGAGCGATGCCGGCGGATTCTCCTCACGGACGGAGCTGAATATCCAACATGGCGCTGGCGGCCGCCTCCAGCAGTCCGGCAGGACGACGACGGCGGCAGCGGCGGCGGCGACGACGACGTCGGACGCTCGGGCGTTCGGACGCTCGGGTAGCTCCGGAGACGTTCGGCTCCGGCTTTCGGAAGGGCCCGCCGGCGCCTGCGCGAGACGTTCGGCTCAGGGCGACGTTCGGGCGGGCTCGGAAACGCTCGGCGGCCGTGCCCGAGCCGGCTTCGCTCGCCCTTTCCGCGGGATTGCGATACGCTCCCGCTGGGGTTTAATGAAGATCGTGGGAATGCGAGCCAGTAAACGCGCAATGCCTCACGCTTCGACGCGTGGGAGTGCCTGCACAAGGGTTCAAATATGTTTGCGTGCCTATGAATGAATGAATGGAGGTGGACCTCTGGAGTGGGACCTCCATTCCCACGTAGTGTTTCTTTGTGATTTGATTTCCCTTCGAGCAGGGATCTTCCAACTTGGCAAGTTTACGACTTGTGGACTTCAACTCCCAGAATTCCTCCTCCAGTCACGTTAGCTCAGGAATTAGGGCAGGTGTCAGCAACCTGGGGCTCTGGAGCTGCATGTGGCTCTTTGGGCCCTCTGCTGTGGCTCCCTGTTGGGTGATCCTACCACTGGCTGGGCCCACCCCGCCCCCTCCCAGTCACTCTTTGAAGGTAAAACACAAAAAAACAGAAATGGGGAGGAGGGAGGGAGGAGAGAGAGAGACCCAACCTGGGTAGGTGGGTTGTTTTTTTTTTTTTCATGTGACTGGGTGGGAGTGATGTTGAGCTGGCCATGCCCACCCAGGTTTTGTGGCTCCTGGTGTTTTCTGTGGGAAAGGGGTCCAAATGGCTCTTTTGAGTGTTTAAGGTTGCAGACCCCCTGCCTTAGAGGAACGCAAGAAAATGAGCCCCCTGGGGTCCCTGAGACTGGGCCGGATTTCCATTAAGAATGTGCCAGGCAGCCAATCCCTTGGGTCAACTTCTAAGCAAGGGGCTCCTCACCCCCCCAGCAGTGCCCAGAGCAAATCCTCTGCTCGTGGCCAGGAGGCCAGGATGAATGACCTTCTCGGGCCCCTTCTCCTTTGCAGAAGGGAAAATAGGCTTAAAGCTGCTCAGATTCACCTGATTTTTTTTTTTTGCCAAAACCAAAGCCACCTGTTTTGCTTTATGTGTGTTGAACAAACAGAATCTACAATTTATATATATATGTGTGTGTGTGTGTATAGATAGATAGATAGATAGATAGATGATAGATAGATAGATAGATAGATAGATAGATAGATAGATAGATAGATAGATAGATGATAGATACAGATATATGTAGATATATAGATATATGTATGTTTTCTTAAGTTTTCACGGGTATCTATATGTATGGTATTCAGCTTTGTTCGGGTATTTTCCCACGTCATTATAGTTGTGCTTTTAAAGTTGTAGCAACTTTTCGGCAGAATCTCATCTGCCATCATCGGGCTTCTGTCGAACACAATACCAAAGCCTGATGATGGCAGATGAGATTCTGCCAAAAAGTTGCTACAACTTTAAAAGCACAACTATAATGATGTGGGAAAATACCCAAACAAAGCTGAATATCACACACACACACACACACAGGAAGGAGTGGTATGATAGCCTAGAGGTAGATCTCTCATTTCACAATCAGGAGGCTGTGAGTTCAATTCTAGGTAGAGGCTGATATTTCACTCTCTGGGCACAGTGAGAATGTATCTGCTGAATATATTTCCAGACTGGCGACAGGAAAGGCATCCAGCCAGTAAACACTCAGCTCCATTCAATTGCCCAGACTCCACCCCAAAAGAGATTATGGGGTCGTTAAAAGATGATATATTTTTAAGGAAAAACAAAATCTGGGTAGTTTTCTGTCACCTCCTTATACCCCCAGGCCTGTCTTTTCAATCCTCCACAGGGATTGGACTTTCACTCCCATAATCCCCAGCCACACAGGTAATCGACTCACAGGCTCCTGCTGGGCATTGCCCAGTTGGCCTCAGCTCTCGGTCTTTTCTTGCAAGGATTTGGCTCTCTGGGGAGGTGTTTTCGTAGTAGTGTCAGGATTCCAGCCATCGCCCTAATTGAATCCTGATTCTCGAGCCAAACTTCAAAAAACTTTCAAAGGATTCATTAGAGGCGACATACTGGCCCTGCCCTGTATGAAGCCAACTCTGGCCTACGTCATTTACAGTCCCCTGTGACCTTGTTTTACTCCTCCCTCCTGGGTGTGTCACAAACCAGATTCTCCAATTGAGCATGTTCACAGGCTGGGTATCATCATTCACGTTCCCCAATTAAGCATATTCCCGGGCAAAAACTCTGGTATTTTAGTTACAATCTTTTAAAGAGAAGAGTTGGAATGTGCTTCCGCTTCCAAACTGCGGCACTGCCCTTCCAGATTTCCTTCGTCTCCCCGCTCCCCCTTTTTTTATGGCAACTACTAAAACAGGCATAGGAATGTTTTACGAGTTGACAAGATAGCCGCTCCCCCCCCCCCAACAGCAGGCACAGGTACCCCCACCCCAGGAGAGCGAAGTTCTCAATAAAGGACTACAGAGCACTTCATTCACTTCCCTTGCCAAGCGCAGACTGCATCAAAGGGAAATTTTTCTGTTCTGACCAGCGTCCAGTGAATTAAACAACTTGTCTTTGAATGGGGCCTTGGGCCTGTCTTTGTTGGACTGAACAAGATAAGAAACCAGGAGAAGCATTTGAAGAAGTTTTAAATTAACACACACACACACACACACACACAAACCAGGGACCCCAATCGTTTCAAACCGTGGTAAAAAGGCGTTTATTTCCAAACTAACAGTCCTTCCTAAAGGCAGGAAGAGTTTAAAAAAAGAACAAACTGGCCGAGCAGAAGATCCATTCAGAGTTGGGGTAGTGCAGATTCCTCGCAGATCTTTTTTTTCTCCCCTATCTCAGAAGGATCAATTCGCGGCACCCCGGAGAATTTATGGAGGGGCGAAAGGGTGAGGGGGGGGGACATTCCTTTCCTAGGGCCACGGGGCAGAAGAGCCGCCTTGACAAAACACACCCACACCAATTCCATCCCTTCAAAACCACAAGGGGCACATCTGGAAGCCATTGGCAGCCTTTCCCGGGAGATCCAATTACCGAAAGCGGATTGCACATCTGGATACCATTTCGGCTTCGTGCAGGAGGAACAACAGCGGGAAAAACCCCACATATTCCCACCGGAGGAACCCTTAAAACCATCGGCTTTCCCACTCCAGCCAAAAAACACACAACAACAACCCTCCCCTGGGGGAAGGAAGGCAAGATCCATCCAGAACCAACTTTCTCCTCACTTGATTGGACTTCACGATGGAGCTACACGGGGGACCCATTTCTTGGGAAAAGGCTGATCGGAAGAGATCCCTGGATCCCTCGCGAAACACCTTCAGGGGCGCTGAACAAATAACCCCGTAAGTAGTTTGGGGAGTTTTAATTGCCAGGTTCTGCATAGAAGCTGTCAAAGCTTTGGACGAGGAGGGCTGGTGGCAGGAAAGCTTTGCTGGCATTAAAACGGGCACAGGACTTCACACCTACCTCTCCTTGACATCAGGGGATAAAAAACTTCTCAGGTTAACCCCACACCCCCTCTTCTGCCAAGGAGCCCAGAAGGAGAGGCTTCGCTCGGTGCCTGCTTTTTGGCGACATCTTCCTGTGCCCAGGAGCCCAGAGCCCCCCTCCTAACTCAGCCCAGGCAACCCTGGGGCTGAGGGCCCCCGCTTTTGGATGGGGAGGGGCACCCTCAGTGCGGCCCCTGCTTAACTCTCATCCCTTCTCTTTAATTCGAAACAGAAACGCTCAATGGAGAGAACAGGTCAGCTTCTGAGGACACAACCCCACGCCCGACACCAAATGCCTGGTAAGGGACCCGGGGCAGATCCCGGGGTCCTGAAGCCAGAAGGGCGTCTCACCAACTCAGGGAGACCCCGGCCCCATTTCCCTCTCCAAGGGTGGAGGAATACGCATCGACTAAAAAAAAAAGAAAGGCTTTTCCCTATCTGTTCGTTTGGAAAAGCGAGAGAGAGAAAGAGCGAGAGAGTCGAGACCAAGATAATCCTAACATTTTAAACGTCCCATACATTTCCCCGCCCCGCAACCTCTCCGAATTTGTTTTTTTCCAGTGTTCTGCAAGGTTGTAAAAACAATGTCTTTATTTTTTATTTTTTTAAAAAAGAAGAAGATTCTGTGTGTCCCCCCCTGGTATCAGTTTAACCCTTTGGAAAAGTGGCAAGCGATTGGAAAGTTGGCTCAGGGAAGGAAGCGTCAGTGCACCGACGAAGCTTCGCCTCCGTCCACGGGAGATGCGGTGGGAAGGTTTCGGTGGCGAGTGGACGCCACGCAAAGGGGGGGGGGTCCTTCTGGAGTCCCTTTGCAGCGAAGAGCGTGGGGAGGTTTTTGTTTTTTCCAGGGAGCCCCGAAAGGGGCAGCCTCCCTTTTGTCTTTTAACACGGAGGAAGTGGCATGTTAAGCGGTCCTGTGTGGGCACCCCGTTTTGGGGTTTGTTTGTTTTTCCTTCCTCCTGCGGGGAGAAAACTCACCAAACTTCACATTTCTGCAGGGGGTTCATAGGCGAACCGGGCCTGCACTGGAAGTGCTTGGCAAAGGCCCTGGAGTTGGAAACCGTCCCGATGACCCGGAAGCGGGAAGGGCTGTGGGGGTCAGTGACAAGTCCTTCGTGGGAGCTCTCCGGCGTGCGGACGGAACACCAGACCTGGGAGAAGTGAGGGAGGGAAAAGATGGGGCTCAGCTTACTACCGGTTTGGTGGCCGTGGTTTGGCTTGGTGGGCGTGGCAGGGGAAGGATATACTGCAAAATCCCCATTCCCTCCCCAACCCACTAACCTGCTTTCCAGCTCCATTCTCCTAGGTAGGGCAACCAAAGAAGGCCCAGCCAATCAGCTGGGACTTGGGTAGGCAGGGCCAATCAGAGGTGGTATTCAAATTTTTTTACTACATGTTCTGTGGGCGTAGCTTGGTGGGCGTGGCTTGGTAGGCATGGCAGGGGGAGGATACTGCAAAATCCCCATTCCCTCCCCACCAACCTGCTTTCCAGCTCTGTTCTCCTGGGCAGGGCAACCCAAGGAGACCCAGCCGATCAGCTGGGACTCGGGAGGTGGAGAATAGAGGGGGTTGGCAGGGCCAGTCAGAGGCGGGATTGGCCGGTTCTCTGAATGACTCAAAATTTCCCGCTACCGATTCTCCAGAACTGGTCAGAACCAGCTGAAGTCCACTCCTGGCTCAGCGGGGCAGACTGAGGGGTGGGGGTGGGGGTCTGAGAGAGAGAGACCTTAGAGGGAGTTGTGGCAGGGTTTGGGGGTAGAGAGAAGGGCCGAGACCTCCCACCTGGGCAAAGGAAACGAAGAAAAGCTGGTCGTTGGTGAGGCCAAGGGCCGGCAGAGATGCCTCCTCCCCATTCTTCTTCACCCAGTTCCGATAGGCCTGTGGGTGAGGAAAGGGCAGAGTCAGCCAGGATCCGTGGAGCCAGGCTGGGACTCTCCACCAGGGCTGACACCCCTCAACTCACCCGGTAGGCGGCCTTCAGTCCCCCGTTGTCCGCAATGTTCTCCCCCAGAGTGTGCTTCCCATTCACAGCTTCTCCGTTGACGGAGTAGTTGCCGTACTGCTCCATCAGGCACTGGGTGTGCTCCTTGAAGGCCTCCACTGAGGAGTTTTTCCACCAGGGACGGAGGTTGCCGTCTTTGTCGTACTCGCGTCCTGCCAGGCCCCCGGGGAGGAGAAACACCAACAAAAACCAGAGCTGGTCTGGTTTGCCAAGAGAGGAGAACGAAGAATTCGCGACCCGGGCCGTCCTTATCCGTCGGAGGGAAACCGGCGGCCCGCTTCCCACCCGCGGAGCCTCGGGAGCTCACCTTGATCGTCAAAGGCGTGCGTCAGCTCGTGGCCCACCATGACACCAATCCCCCCAAAATTGACAGCCCTGTAAAAGAAGCCACAAGACAGGCGGGCTCCGTTGGACAGTGTCCTGCCTGCATCTCACCTTCAGGAGCTGACTGACAAGGTATCTGATTCAGCTTACACTATTTCTATAAGCTTCAGTAAAATATCATCATCATCATCATCATTTAACAACCTCACAATCCCTTGCGGGGCAGAGTCTGGGAAACTGAATGGAGCTAGCGGAGTGTTTTACTGGCCAGATGCCCTTCCTGTTGCCAGAGCGGGGTTTTATTCAGCAGATATATTCTCATTTGAGTCCAGAGAAAGAAATATCTGCCTCTCCGTAGGATCGAACTCACAGCCTCCTGATTGTGAGGCGAGAGCTCCACCCCTTAGGCCACCGCGCCACTCTTAAGCTTCAGTAAAATATATACTCTTGGCAAAATCAAATGGCCAGGAGTCTTTCTTTGCTGGATGACTGAGCGGGGCGGTTGACATCTTTTCTCACACACACACACACACACATTCCCCGAGGCCTTTGGGCATCAAACGGGGCAGCTGGTGCAGTTCCTAGAGGGAAAGGGGCGCCTCTGCCTTCCTCTTCCGGGACCATCTTCCCACCCACCCCCCCGATGCCAAAAGAGACAGGAGGGGCCTCCGTACTTGGGGTGGTTCCGCGTGTAGAATGGAGACTGCAGAATTCCCGCGGGGAAGATGACCTCGTTCTTGGTGGGGGAGTAATAAGCGTTCACCGTCGGCGGGGTCATACTCCACCTGGGGGAGGTGAAAAACCAAGAGAACTCAACAGGACCAAGGCGCCAGCCTGCACGGTTCGGCTCTCCCCTTAAACGTTCCCCTCCCCCAATTCCTGGATCTCTGCACTATGGAAAAAAAAGTGCAAAGAAGAGCCATTACGAGGATTAAAGGCCAGGAGACTAAAGGAATTGGGTATGGCCAGTCTAAAAAAAAGAAGAATTAATGGGTGACAAGATAGTAGTCTTCCAGTAAAACACCTCCAAGGTCCCTTTCCAGCTCCATTCCGATTGATCGATCTGGCCCAAGAGGACGGTTCTCGGGCGATTCCTACTCACTGGTCGCGGTTCGGAGGCTTGCGAAGTTGGTCAGCCGCCACCCGGGCGGAGAAGTTGGAGAACTGCATGACGTTCTCATAGTACAGGTCAGACACGGGGTCGTACTGCCAAGAGGGAGAGCCTCGTCAGGTCCAGGCGCCCCACCCAAGAGGACTCCATGGGGCCAGAGCGGCCACCCCTCCCTTCCTCCCTCCCCACGTGGCAGGCGTGACACTCACGTCGTGGAAGACTTTGTCCAGCTCTTTGGGGTCCAGGATGAACTTTGGGTAGCCAATCATGTCATAGATGGCGTCAGCCTTCTCCCTGGCTGACCGCCGGGTCTCCTCGTCCATCCACCCAAGGCTGGCCAGGCTTTCCTCCAGCGCCATTTTAATCTCCAGGATCATCTCCTCGGCCTGTAGGGGGAGTGAGGCTAGCCGGCCCTTCTCTGGCAGTGTGGGGTGCCCACATTGATTTATACACCGCTTCACCGTGCTTTATATCCCTCTCTAAGCGGTTTTGCAGAGTCAGCCTCTTGCCCCCAACAATTTGCGTCCTCATTTTACCCACCTCGGAAGGAGGGAAGGCTGAGTTTGATCTTGGAACTGGTCAGCATCGAACTGATGGCAGTGGGCAGAGTTAGCCTGCAATACCACATTCTAACCACCAGGAGGGAGGGAGGAAGCAATAGCCCTTAGAGTGATATACCGCTTCACAGTGCTTCACAGCCCTCTCTAAACGGTTCACAAGAGTCAGCCTTTTGCCCCCAACAACCTGGGTCCTCATTTTACCCACCTCGGAAGGACAGAAGGCTGAGTCAACCTTGAGCCTGGTGAGATTCAAACTGCCAAATTGCAGGCCGAGGACAGTCAGCAGAGGTAGCCTGCAGTACTGCATCTAACCACTGCGCCACCCTGACAGAAGGGACCCAAGAGGTGGGAACCCCCCCCCTTTCCAAGAGCCCTGCAAAAGGGGGGCAGCTCCCATGGCTCAAGCCACGTTGGGGGAGAAGGCGAGATGCTTACGACGGCCCGGCTGTCTTCGGCAAAGTTGGTCCTCACAAACATGGCGCCCAAGACGAAACCCAGGCTGTTATCTGTGTCGACGATGCAGTGCTTCCAACGCGGCACGCAGGCCTGCCAAGGGGAAGGGAGTCACTGCCACCAGCTCTGGCTGCCCCCTTGAGAGGTGGCTCTGTCACTTGGCTCCGGGGCCAAGTCCTTCCCACGGTCCAGGCGTTGGAGGAAGGGGAGGAGCATGGCCCAAAGGATGCCAGTGGCTGCAGGCACCAGCCGAGGTGGGAAAAGCCTTCCGAAGAGCCAGGGTAGCCGAGAGCCGGGGGCGGCGTGGCGCTGCAGGGCTGGCGGCTGGCAGCAGAGGACGCTCCAGGGCAGCCAGTCCCCAAGAAGCGGGGGAGGGGGGAGGCAGGAGAGATCTTTTCCTCCCTCCCCAACCCCCTGCCCACCCCTCTGCAGCCGAGCCCGGCACCCACCTTCTTCGATCCGTAGATGACTTCCACGAACTTCTGCTCCGCGTCTCGAAACCGCTGGTCCAAGAAATTCGCTCCTTTCCTCACCAGGTGCCAAATCATGTAGTTACGCAACACCCTGGGCACAGGCCAAAGGGAAAGGATGAGGAAGGCGGGGAGGAGAGGGGAAGGGCAAGGCTGTCTTCTGCACCCGGCCAGGGCCACCCGAGGTCCTCTGGTTCAGTGGCCCCACCACCAAAGTTTCTGCCCCTCCCTCACCTCTTGTCCGTGCTCTGGATGAGCAGGGAGACACGATGGAGATACTCCTTGGCGTAGACCACTACCGGTTCCGATTCGTTGATCTCGACCGGGTCGAAGAATTCCTTCAGCAAGGGCAGCCACTCGATGGCTGGAGCCACCTCCTTCCGGGGGGCAGAAAGGAGGAATGGAGGGTCAGAGGTCCACCTTCCTGCCTCCCACCCAGTCACCACTTGGGGACCTACAGCTGCCAGAGAACCTGGCGATGCCAGCTGATCAGACTGGGTCCACCGAGACCAGAGCCAGGCTCGGGGATGCTAGGGTGGGGCTTTGCTAACAGCGGTGGCTCTTCCATCCTGAGGACCAGCCCATAGATTTCCACTGCTCTCCTCTCCTCTGCCTTCTGCGCATCTCCATGTCCAGCACTGGACCTGGCTGTTGCTCCTCTTCCTCATCAGCCACCTCCAGACCTGGGGGCTGTTGACTCTCCATCTGAGGCCTGATGGATGGCCCAGGCTCCGCCTCTCTCTCTCTCTCTCTCTCTCTCTCTCTCTGTCAGGTTGCCCTGATGCTGACCTGACTCCCACACCTCCTCCTCCTCCGATTCGGCTGCTGGACAGGCCACCACCATCTTCACCTGAAGGGGCTGCTTGGCACATTTTTCCACCACAAAGGGACAATGCTGGGCATGCCTCCATCCTTCACCCCTTCCCAAGGAGGCCCATCCGATGCAGAGCCCCCCCAACCTTTTTCCCTCCCCACCTAGCCCACCCCAGCCACGGCCCGCCTCACCTTGAGCTCCCCGGCAGCCATTTTGTGGTAGATCACTTCCTCATCTCGGAGCTTCTCCTGCGGGGTGGTGATGTTGGCCAAGGTGGTCTCGAAGTCCAAGATCTCCTGCATCTGTGGCCGGATCGTGGCCTCCTCCTCCCCGCTGACCAACATGCCAAGCTGAACCATGAAGTTCAGGTAAGCCGCCAGGAACTGCAGGGTCAAGGAAAGGGGTGGGTGGCCTCATCAGCTGAACCGGGAAAAAGGTCCCGCGATCGTGCAGCCGTGCCAAGGACACCAGGCGGGTTCTTTGAGGCTCTAGAGGGCCGCGAAGCAAGGCCACACACACACACCCCTCACAAGGCGACACCGGGCAGAGTCCAGGAGGAGGGAGGCTGTGACTTGCCCCCAGCTCAGAGGGCTTGGCTGCAGGAACACAACTCACTTTCTCGTTCTGGGTTTTGTTGAGGTAGTAGTCCCTGGAGGGCATTCCCAGTCCCGACTGGTCAATCTGGAAGAGAAGCAGCAACGAGAGAGGGGTGACCCTGGGCAGAGGAAAACGGGGGATGCAGGCAATTCGGGGGTGGGTGGGTGGGTGGGCAGGAAAGTGTCCCCTACCTGAATGATGTTAGTGCTGGAATTCTTGGAGTCGACGCTGACAGAGATGGAGAAGAAGGGGCTCAGGTGGTAGTGGGCCACCACAGCCAGCAGCAGCTGGTTAAAGCTGCCCTCTCCAGCGGGGGCGCTGAGATTCCAGCCTCCGAGCTAGAGGGGGGGAAGGGGGAAGAGAAGAAGACCCCCCTTGGGTTCAAGAGCAGGAAGGCCAAAGGGGCCCAAGTCCCACCCAGGGTAGCTTTCTCGTCACCCCGACTGAAAATCTTTGGAAAAAAAACATCAATTGCAAATGAGATGCCCCGTTTGATTTAGTACTGGCTTCGGACCACACTTCCCATCACTCTGAACCACACCAGCCACCGCTGGCTGGGAGTTCTGGGAGCTGCAGTCCAAGGCATCCGGGTGCTGAGCGTGGAGCCCCGGAGCCTCTGTTCACTCCCACGAAGGGTTGGCTCCGGAGCGCTTTGCGGGAGGCGGAGAAAGAGTCTGGATGCTCCTGCCAAGCGAGGCCTTGGCTCCCAAAGGGACCCCGCCCAGCTACCTTCTGGATCTGATCCATCAGCGGTTTGGCCTGCAGCTCCTCTATTCGGCTCTCGTTCATGCAGGACTGGTAATAACGCTGCACTTTGCGTTCGGCCTCGCTCAGCGACGAGGGGGCCGTGGTGTTCTCTGCAGAGAGGAGAGACCAGATTACGGATGAACGGAGTTAGAAGGGACCTTCTAGGTCATCTAGTCCAACCCCCCCACCCAAGCAGGAGACCCTACCCCATTTCTGACAAATGGCAGTCTAATTTCTTTCTCGAAAGCCTCCAGGGATGAAGCTCCCACAATTTCCAAAGGCAACTCCTGTGTTTTGGTTGAATTGCTCTCCCTGTCAGGAAATTCCTCCTTATTTCCAGGTTGAATCTCTCCTTGATCCGTTTCCATCCATTATTATTCCTCGGCTGGCCTTCGGGGGCTTTGGAAAATAGCTTGACCCCCTTCCTCCTCTCTGCGCCAGTGAGACTCCAGCCTCCTGCACCCCATGGCCCTTCCCGCACCGGACCCAAAGGGGCTCCTACTTGACCCCTCTGGTCACCCCACGCTCCAACATCGGAGATCTGTTTGGGGCACACTTGGGGAGAATTAGACAAGAATCAGAGTTGGAAGGGACCTTGGAGGTCTTCTAGTCCGACCCCCTGCTCAGGCAGGAAACCCTACGCCACTTCAGACCAAGGGTTGTCGAATCTCTTCTTAGAAAACTCCCCGTGTTGGAGTATTCACAACGTCTGGAGGCAACTTGTTCCACTGGAATCACTCCTTCCCAGGGAGGCCTCCCTCGGGCGGGTGGGTGGGTGCGTTTCATCCCCTCCTTATGGGGCACGGAAGAGACCCCCCCCCAAAGAGCCCCAGCCTTGGCTGTGCAGGTTTTGCTGGAGGGGTGTGGGGAAACCAGGCACTTCCCTGAGAGTAGCAAACATCCAAAGAGAAACATTTGGTCCGGGGGGGGGGGGGGGAAAGGAGCGAGTTCTTCAGAAGCCCAGACGGACAGACAGGGTAGCCGCCGGGTTTGGGTCAGATAAAGGAAGGTAAGGGTCTGTAGCTATGGAAACCCCCCTCCCCTCCAGACTGCGCGGCCCCGAGAGGAACATTTAATCAGGGGACGCACACGCAAGGGTGGATGCGTCTTTGCAGAAAGTTGGGGTGGGAATGGGGACAATTTCTGGGAAATTGCAAGAAGAACTGAAGCGGGAGTGGGCAGAAGAGGGAGAAACCCACCAACAGAAAGAGAGATACACAACACACACACACACACACACACACACACAGAGTTCTTCAGGGGTCTCTGTCCTTCTCTAATGCATCCCTCCCCTTTTAGCCCAAGACTGGGGGGCTCCCTTCCTTTGCATCTGGGCCCCTTTGCAAGCCCCTCCACAGGGCTGCCTCCCCCAGCTGCGACCCCCCCCCTTTCCCCAACCCACCCAGGAGGCTCTTGAGGGCGGCCTGGTTGTGTTCCCAAAGCTTGTTGAAGATCCCCCAGCGGGAGTGGCCGTCGGGGATCGGGTTGCTCTTGATCCAGCCGCCGCAGGCGTAGCGAAAGAAGTCCTCGCAGGGGTCCACGCCTTGATCCAGCGAGCTGAGGATGGAGCTGGTCACCGAGATGCAGGTCTGAGTCAGGCAGGGCTCTGAGGGGGAGGAAGAGGAGGCTGCTGTCACCGCAGGTGGAAGCTGGTAGGGGTGGGGGGGTGGGAGGGAAAACCCCACCCCGAAGGGTACAGGCCGGGTGGCGTCCAGCAGACTCACGCGTCTGGTACTGGAAGAGCAGGACAGACAGACAGGCCAACAGACCCAAGAACAGGATAAGGGTCAGGATCAGGAGGCGCTTCTCTGGGCTCGGCCGCTGCGCCCAGCAGCCCTTCCTGGCCCCTGGCCCGCGGAAGTTCACCTGGGAGAGAAGGAAAGAGGGAGACTCAGGCCCTCCGAGGCAGAGAAGCGGCCACCCTCCCTGTTCTGACCAAGGCTTCCCGAGACCGTAATTAAGCACACATTTAGTCCAAACAATTCTTCTTCAATGCTGGGAATTATGTGCATTCCCAGCCTGTGATGAGTCCCAAACAGTCCCTCGAGATAAGCACCCACCTTTCTCTCCTTTGAATTGCTGCCAACAACTAAAGTGCCAAATGAACTATAAAAAAACCAACCGAAGTACAAAGTCCACACAGAGCTTCAAGGTTGAATCCGAACAGAGCGAACGACTTTGCTTCCTGCAAAGGTTTCTCTCCCTTTGCCTGTCTTTTATACCTTAGGGGAGGGGCAATCACCTCCAAGCCTTACTCCCGAGTCGACCCTTTTGTCTTAGCTGCTCTTGGCCTTCTAGCAGCTCTGTGCACACGCGCGCTGGGAACAGGCTCCCCTTGTTCCTCTGCCTCGCTGCTGTCAGACTCTGGAGGCTCCGGAGTCAACACCCTACTCCCAGATGGTGCTGGCCCCATTCCTGCATTGGATGAAGGACCCTCGTCCAAGTCCTCCCCAAACTCCCGGGCTGTCCGATTCCACTGCCGTTTGCACAGGCTGCTGGCGAACCACAACACTTCCTGTCTCTTTGCCAGCTGCAGCTTCCCTTCCCTTGCCCAGGCCTCAAGAGACCGAAGGGCTGCAAGAAACGATGTAGGGCCTCCTGCTTGGGCAGGGGGGGGTGGGACTAGGTGACCTACAAGGTCCCTTCCAACGCTTGTTAATCAAGAGCCAAAGCAGGTGGGTTCAAAGAACGTCAAGAGCCTCACCAGGCCCCTCCGAAACAAGCCATGCACTCCGCTGGGTGCCAAGGGCCACTTCCTTTCCAGGGAGGGTGGAGTGGAGAGCCAGCAGCCCAGAGCAGAGTCTGCCAAGGAAGGCAACACGAGGGAAGACCTTCAAGCCTTCTGCTGGGAAGGCTGATGTCCCTGCTTCGGACATCGGACTGTGCTAGGAGGGCGATGTCCAAGGCTGCCCAAGACCGCAGATACATTGGCCTTGGATGCAGCGGCTTTCCACCGTCCAAGCTGCCCGGAGCCACTGCAGTCACAAGGTAGGTGGCCATTCCAATTGATAAAAAGAGAGAAGTGGGCATTTGCAGAAAAAAAAGCCCCCAACCCCTCCACAAAGGAGAACCGGGAAGCCAGGAACAAACAACTGCTGCCTTCTGGGCTTGACCTCAGGAAGCCCCATCCTACTCCAGCACTCCCCCAGGAGCAGTGGTGGCCTCCCTCCTCCTCCTCCTCCTGCATGGCAGAGGAGCCAGAGGAACGGGGCAGGGAGGGAGGGAAGGCAGGAAGGTGGGTGGAGAGGCTGCCTCCCCTCCTGCTCTGCCTCGGCCAGAGCCCCTCTGTCAAAGGGAGGTGACCGCCTTCCCTCTGGTTTCTCAGCTGGGGAGGGGGAGGGCCAGGGAGCTGCGAGGGGAAGAGGCCAGGCAACTTGGGAGGGCTCAAAGACACACACACACACACACACACACACACACACACACACACACACACACACACACACACGTGTGCCCCTAGAGCAGAGGCAAACAAGGACTCTCCATCTGGGCTGCTACAAATAATATTCCCACCCACAGGAATTCCCACAGGAATTCTGACTCCCCACCACCACCAAAGGGCCTGCGGTGCCATGTTTTGACAGGGTGGAAAAGCAAGGAGACGAAAGAAACAACAGCCTGGGCAGACAAGGCCGCCTCCGTAGCTGACCGTTTCTCTACCTGTGTCCTCCCTCCCACCAACAAAAAAAAAAACAGAGGCAGGGGGTCAGCCCGGGGGCCAAGCGGAGGCTGGTCTGGGCAGGCAAAGATTGGACGGGGGGAGGGGGGGTAAGAATTCCAAAGGCCAGCAAGACCGAAGCAGAAGGCAGAAGCCAGCGGACCTCAAATGGAGACCCCCCCACTACCCACAGCCATGCCCTGGCAGCATCCTGCCCCCCCAAATCGCTCCACCTGGAGCCTCGGTGGAGGTTGGCATCACCGGGTTCGCTTTAAAGGAAACGGTGGCGGGGTGGGGTGGGGGCTCGTCCCCTGCCCTTCTTCGCCTCAGGGCCTCGACAGACCAGTGTGCCCCCCCCTCCTGGGCATCAAAGGGAGCCCAAGAGAAATGTAGACAGCCTTTCCCACTTCCTGCCTCTGCCAGGGCAGTTTGGATCTCCAAACCTGGCACCTTTTGAGACTGGTGGAGTTGCAACGCCCAGGATTCTGGGCGTTGGAAGTCCACAAGCCTCAAAAGTTGCCAAGTTTGGGGACCGGGACCCCCCCGCTGCCCTCTTGGCTCCTGAGGTGTGGCGGGAGACTGGGCAGATTGGCCGGGGGGAACAAGGGCAGAGTCGAGCCGGTCCTTCCCACAGTGGATTAAACCACGCTGGGGAGAGGGGATTTCAGGGGTCCTTAAGGAGGTGGAGGTGGAGGTGAGGGGCTACCCTCCCTGTTCTTACCTGGATCCCATTGGAGTAGATCTCTCCCTCCAGGGAGTCCACCAGCTCCTCTTCGTCCAGAGTGGCCCGCTTGTAGGTGGACATCTGAAAGAGGCAGAAAAGAGGCCCTCAAGCACACCTGTTTGCCTTACACCTGCTCCTGGGCCTCACCTGGCCCCACACACCTGGAGGCGGCTACTCAAGACCACAAAGCAGCCAGCCCTCCCATAAAGGTGGCAGTTGGGCGTGTGCGTGTGTGTGTGTGTGTGGATCCCAGTGTGCAATTCCTTCCTAGCTTCAGCCACGCTGGCAGCTTTCCCCCACACACACAGTTCAGATCTCTCTCCTTCCTCCTCCTCTTGGGGCAAGGGCAGGCAAAGCAAGAGAGCTCCAAAACAGGAAGGCCATCCAGGCAGGCGGATACCGGGTGGTGTGTTTTTTCCCCCCCTCTGTGCAGCCACATTCCACTCCTGGAGAGGCGCTTCCTGGAAAGGCCAGCCCCACAACTCCTCCTGCCCCTCCTACCCTGCCTGCCCGCCCACCGGAGATGCCCGTTGTCCTCTCGGCGCCAACCCGGCAGGCACGTGGCTGCCCAAGACTTCGGCAGAACCGGGGGGGGGGGGGGGGGGGACTCCCCCACCCCCCCCTCTGCCCCCCCCCCCCACCACAATCCTCTAGGGCTGCTGGCCCTGCCCCGCTGCATCTTTCCAGTTCCGGTGAGATTCAGAATTCGACGGAGCATCTGGCGGGCTTATCTGTCCCGCTTGGCTTCCTGTTCCAGCGCTTAGTGGCGCCTGGGCTGCTCCGTGTCGCCTGGGCTGGTCCATGTCGCCTAGCGTGCTTGTCTCCTTGAACCCTCAGCCCAGCCCCAAGTGCCAGCCTGGCCCCCCTCCCCAGACACATGTTCTCGGACAGGGGGGAGACGGGGTTGCCAACCCAAAGAGAGGCTGCAACATCGATAGCCGTTGCTGAAGCTCCGTTGGGTTTTCTAAAACAGACCAGACAGAGGGTTTGGTGAAGCCTCCATGCTCAGGGGCAGTGTACCTTTCAGGGCCCCAGAGAGGCTGCTGACCCAGGAACCTGGAAGGAAGTAAAACCAGGCTGTTCCCCACCCCCCCCCCCCAAGGCAGAACCCGATCCGCCCGCCAACCAAATCCCCGCCCTTTCAGGGCGATGCATAAACCACCTTGGGGTGGAAATTCTCCCAGGGAAAAGCTGGCTAGAGACAGTCCTGCAGGCTGAGGCTTCCTTCCCATGAGAGTAAGACCAGCTGCATGCCCTCAGGGGGTCTCTCCTCAGCCTCACACCCCTGCTCCATCCTGCCCGAGCTTCCTGGCATCAGCCGGGGTCCTGTTTGGCTTTTGCTGGGTTGCAAAACCTCCCAGGAAGAGCCCACAAAAAAACAACTTGTTTACCGAGAAGCCTTCGCAAATATCCAGCCTTACCCACTTTTCGGCGGGGCCGGCCGGCTTCGCAGCAGCAGCCGCCGCCGCCCGTCCGTCCATCCCAGCTCTTCTTGCAAGAGGCAAGGGCCGAGCCTTCTCTACCCACCCACCCCACCTGCTTGGCTGCAGCGGGAGGCAAAAAAACAAACACCAAGCTCAGTCAGCCAAGCGGCAAATTCTCCCCGACAGAATCAAGGCGGAAGGAGGAAATCGGTCCCGTCCCAGAGAAGAAGGGAAGCCGAGAGCAAAAAGTGTGTGTGCGCGTGTGTGGGAAATATCTTGGCCAAGAGAGATGCTGGCCTCCTGGCTGCATCCCTGGCCAAAGACTTCCAGGGTTGGCCAGGCCAAGCCAGGCTCTCTTCATTCAAGGGCTGTGTGTGTGTGTGTGTGTGTGTGTGTGTGTATGCTTTGTGCCCAAGGAGGAGGAGGAAGAGGAGGAGGAGGAGCAGATTCCTCCTTGCCCCCTGACCTTATTCGGGCAGACACACACTCATTGACACACACTCGTTGCCGGTTGCCCCAGCAGCTGGTGGATCTTCTTACAGGGTAAACAAGCCAGGAATGTGGCCCTGGCCAGAAAAGCAGCTGGCGTACCTGACTGCAGCCCAAACAACGTCAAAGAAGGGCCCCGCCATGGAGCAGCCGGCCTTCCCACCACAACACACACACACACACACACAGAACAACAGAGTTGGAAGGCACCTTGTAGGTCATCTAGTCCAACCCCCTGCCCAAGCAGGAGGCCCTGTACCAATTACACCACACAAAGAGAGACAGAGGGAGAGAGACATATGCAAATAAATTCCCCTGGAAGAAATTGCAAATGGACCCCCAGGGGAAATCTGTGCCCCTCCCCAATTCTCCTTCCTTACAACCGAGAGAACCTATCTTATATATATATAAAAGCGAAGTACCCCTCACGCATCATCACAAAATCTCCAGAACCGTCAAGCCTACAAACTTGAAATTGGGCCCATTTGTTCCTCTTGGCTTCTACGTGCTCGCTAAGAAAGGATATTTCAAAATGACCATCGCTGCATTAGTATTTCCTATATTATTATTATTTGTTATTATTTGTTATTATTTATATTATTATGATTATGATTATGATTATGATTATGATTATTATTATTAGTATTAGTATTAGTATTTATTAATTGTTATTATTATTATTACTATTATTACTATTATTACTATTATTACTATTATTACTATTATTACTATTATTATTATTAACACGCTCTGATGTTAAGGAATTCTACTCCCCCTCCCCACCTGAAAAGGAATCTGTTCCAAATGCAAAACACAAGCAGAGAAGTTTCAGTTTTAGCTTCAGAGCACCAAGCAGCTTTAGTACAGAACAGTTGAGCTAAGCCACGCCCAGGCTCCTTGCTGTCTCCTTGCTCACACAGCAAATGCTGTTTCAGTTTCCAAACAGCCCTCAACTCTCTCACACACTGACAAGGACGCTAGCCAGGTGAATACCGATGGATGCTGGTAGGCAGAGGCAGAATTTTTCCCCCCGCTTATTTTCCTCCCCAAAAACTAAGCCCGACCACAGAGTTTCGTAGCCAAGCACGGGTATCGAGCTAGTACAGGATAAGAGTTGGAAGGGACCCTGTAGGTCATCTAGTCCAACCCCCTGCTCCAAGCAGGAGGCCCTGCGCCAAATATACCACACAGACACAAATAAATCCCCCTGGAATAAATTGCAAATGAACCACCAGGGAAAATCCGTGGCCCCCATCCCACCCCACCCCATTCTCCTTCCTTACAGCCAAGCCCCTTCTGGAGGCGCAGAGTTAACCCAGCCCGGCCCAGGGCGGCTCACCACAACGGCTGCCAAAGCTGGGATGTTTTCCCCCCACTCCAAAAGCGTCTTCCTTCGGCTGAAGACCAGGCTCACATGCCGGAATTTATGTAACCCGCACCATCCTCCTCCCCATCCGACCACGGGAGCCTATAAAGGGAGAGAGAGTCATAGGACAGCCTGGTGGGAGCGTCCGTCCCACACGAAGGGCCGGGCCGAGCTTGGCCGGAGGAGCAAACAAGAGAGAGGCCCTTCGGTCACAAAGAAGGGGGGGGGAAGGGAGAAGAGGCAAAGAGGCCACCCGCTTTTCAGCATTGTCCGTGAGCCAAAACGTACTCGGCTCGGCTGACTATCCGGGCCAGGTTTTCTCACCACCTTAACAGATTAAACAGAGTTGGGAGGGACCTTGTAGGTCATCTAGTCCAACCCCCCCCCCTGCCCAAGCAGGAGGCCCTTACACTATTTCTGATAGATGGCAGTCTAATTTCTTTCTTGAAAGCTCCCACAACTTCCGAAGGCAACTTCTGTTCCGTGGGTTGGTTGCTCTCCCTGTCGGAAAGTTTTCTCCTTGTTTCCAGGTTGAATCTCTCTCCTCGATCAGTTTCTATCCCTTGTTATTCCTTGTCTGGCCTTCGGGGGGGGGGGCTTTGGAAAATAGCTTGATTCCCCCCCCCTTCCTCCTCTCTGGGGCAGCCCCTCAAACTGGCTCAGATGCTTTTTCCAAATTAAACACAACAACCTTCCCGCCTCTGAACCAAGGGTAGGGCAGCTTCTCACCCCTGGCCGTGAGCAAGGAAGGCGGGGTGGCTGCCTCTCCCCCCCCCCCCCCACCCCGATTCCCCCCCGACCCCCTAGAAGCCCTGGGCCCAGGGCAGACTAGAGGAAACAGCCCTTGGTATGCCTTCCGTGTCACGCAAATGGGCAACCACAACCCAAAATCACAGCATTGCAAGAAACGAAACACTTCAACTCTGCCCACCTGTGCCCATCTGTGCCCACCCTTCTTCCAGTCCAGTTCAAAAGCAGCACAAAACCAACGGCTGGCAAAAACAGCCTTGCCCAATTCTGAGGCTCTTTGGCACAGCCAACCTGCAACCTCCCCCCCCCCCCCCCCGGCTCCCCCCCCCCCCCCCCTTCCGGGGCCCCCCCCCCCCAAAAAAAACAACAACCTGGGGCCGACCACATACACACACACCTACACACACACACACATCCTAGGACTAGCGTTGCTTCTTCAGTACATGCCCTTTCTTCCACTTCCATTTTCCAGTATAATCAAGATTCCCTGCTGATATGGAATAAAAGCCGGTTTGGTGCTTATAAAAACTCGGCCCAACGTTTATCCAATGAGAACAAACCATTTGCTTCTCTTTTTCAAAGACGGGGTCCGAGCTTGGGAATGGAGTGTGGGGGAGACCCCCTTCTTGGGGAGCCTAAAAGCCAAGCCCTTACAGATGATCAGAGTCAGAAGGGACCTTGTAGGTCATCTAGTCCAACCCTCTCCAAAGGGTTAGGACTCTACTATCCAGAAGCCTGATTTTTCCCATGCCTCCAGCATGGCCTGCAAATTGCCAAATTTCCCTCTCTATCCACCCCGCATCATTCAGACCCCAGAGATTGAGCCAGAAGAGGGTTTCCCAGCCCACAGGAGACGCCAACAGGGAGGTTTTTCATTCCGCTCTATCAAGTCAGAGCTGAAGAAGCTTCTTGGACGAGAAGCGAAATGTTTTCAAAAGAAAAAAAAAACCAGGAAGTACAGTGGCCTCCTGGAAAAAAAACACCTTTGGAACAACCACGACCTGCACGACAGGAACTATTTGCACTACTCAGGTGACCCCTGAGAACACAGACAAACCTCCAAGCGGCCTCAAGGACCGTCTAAAAGGAGGCAAATGATGACCTGTCTGCGAGGAGTATCAATCCTTCCCTTCCCCACCATCCAGTCAGAGCTGAAGAAGCTTCCTGGATGAGAAGTGAAACGTCTTCAAAGAGAAACCAGTCGTCTCTTTGAAAAAGCACTTTGGGGACACCAGCAGGGGATCTGTTCGGCATGTCACCTCTCTTCATCCTTCCTGCTAACCCTCCTCAGCAACTGGACCAGAAAATCACTCCACTTCATACCTGACCAAAGCTAGAAGCCCCTCAATGGACTCGGTTCCCCCTAGGTCAGGAGGACAGCCTTGTAAGGGTCCTGCTTAAGGGCCATTTGCTGTGTCCCTCCACGTGCCCAGGAAGCCCACCCAGCCCCTTTAGCAGCCCGAAATAAGGAGTGTCGTCCTCTAAAAGTGCAGCGACACACGAGGGGGAAATGGGCAGCCAAACTCAAGAGGCGTTTTTCTGGTGCTGAAAATCACTTCCTGTTCGAATTTCTCACCGGGCCTGGAAGAGAACAGGCCGCCCCGTTTTCCCACTGCAGCCACCAGCCGGGCTCCCTTCCATCTGGACCAGCTCCCTTTCCTGGCACTGAGCAGGCGGCAAAGCGTCTGTTCCGTGCAGAGAGGAAACGCTCTTGGCAGCCTGGCAAAGCCCTGGGGAAAAACGCCAGCACAAGCCACTCGGCCCCAGCAGGACGCTTGCCCTGGGCCGGCCAGCGGTCCAGTTGAAAAAAGAGGAGGGGCAGAGCACACCCATTGTGTACCCCCCACAAGCCCTGAACGCAACGCGGGCGAGAAGAAGAGCTAGGCAGAAGCTGTCCTTCGGCGGGCAGGCAGGCAGAAGGGCTGACGGCAGCCGTGGGAGAAGATGGCTGGACTGCCACGATGGCTACAGAGGAGAGGATGAAGCGAGGCTTAAATCCCTTCCTGTCCCGAAGCAGCCAAAGAAAGGCCAGATCCACCCTCCCCTCAAGGCCCATAAGAGGCATAAACACCGCTTTACCCGCCCTGTTTCTGAATATTTCCGCCCGCTAGGAAACTAGGCAACCTTACCCGCCAAGTTCTCCACAGTTCTGACCGGGCGTTGCAAGGCAGTCGGAAGGGGCCAAGCTACCCTGCGTTTCCTCTTTCTCTTCCTCCTCCTCGTAGCAGAAGCGAGACTGAGAAGCAGCTGCTGAACGGCTGCTGTTTACTGCCTTCCCGGTCCCCCATCCCAACCTCCCCCCACAAACCTTTCCTGGCACCAGGGGAGGAGGAGGAGGAGACGTCAACCGGCTGGCTGCGTCAGCAGTGAAGAGGAGGGGTTCCAGCTTTTTCCACATCACTCATCTATTTAAAAGCCCACCC